GGGGGGTTCTCCGTTGTTGCCCTTTGGGGGGGGGGCAGGTGGGCGAGAGGCCCCGCCGCCGCTCGAGAGGGAAACAGACGCTCCTGCCGCCATTTGGGAGCTGCCTCATGCCTCCGGCCCGGCCTGGGGAGGGGAGCGACCCGTCTGTCCAGCGCCCCCCGGGGAGGGCAAAGCCAGAGGAGCCCCGAAATGCCCGGGGGGCAAAGTGCCCCAGGTTGCTCGGTTTCACCCAATTTCCGTACTGGGGCATAAAGCCCTGATGCTGCTGGGTGGTGGTGACGGCTCAGGGTCATGTTGAGGTCCGTTTGGGGAAAGTTTGGTGTGTTTTTGTCCAGGAGAGTTTGGGAACGTTTCCTGGCGCAAACCCCACGAGGCCATAGGTGCGAGGAGTCAGCTGCAACAGCCTTTGTGGCAACCAGCTCACTCAGCCTTGCTCGCCACGTTTGGGTGAGCAAATATGCCAGGACTTGTATTAGGCCAGGTAAAACTTATTCTCCTCTCTCTTCCCCTCAGGTCAGAGTCCAAGTGCCGTGGAGGATATGCTGGATGTGGAGAACAAGCGTATGGCAGACAGCCTGGCCAGCAAGGTCACCAGGCTGAAGTCGGTGAGTTGCTGGGTTCACATCAGGTGCTGTGGTGAAGGAAGGACGGAGCGTCAGTTATCCGCGTTGTTTGTGCAGTGTCTTGTGGGAGAGGAAAGCGTGTGGTCAATACAGAGGCCTTCGTGTGTATTAACAGCTCTTAAGTTGTTGATAATGTAATGGTTAACTTTCACTTGTGAAATGCCAGGGATGGCCAGAGGTTCAGCAACATCATCTAATGGGAACGATGGGCCTTTTACGGCACTCAAGGAAGGAGTTTCAGGTGTAGAGAGAAGCATAAAAGCTGCACAGAGGGTTATTGCTAAGCACACCTCCTTGGGAAAAAAAGTCACAATAAAAAGGGAAGTGAATTAGTTTTGGAAAATGCACATGTCTGTAAGTGGTGTCCTTAAAGCTACTTTGCTCCTACTAACATCAAATACTTTGATTTAGAGCTTAATAGAAGTCAGTGACTCGCCTTGTAGAAGGGAAGGCTCTTAAATCCTGCTGTTTTGTCCCAGCGTTCAGATGCTCCTGTCCTGTATATGACAGTTTCAGGCAGTCAGGTTTTATTTTCAGAGCTGCAGAGCTGAAAAAATTTAACAACCTGAAACCAAAATGAGAATATTGTTCCTCTATCAAACAAGCTTCTGTCTGTCTATGTGGGAGATGGGGAAGCAGGGGCTTACTTTTCTAATGTGCATTTCAAATTTTACCAGCACGAGATGTGTTCTCTCTACGTTCCCAGTTCATTAATACTTGTCTCCTCCCTTAGCTGGCTCTGGATATTGACAAAGATGCTGATGAACAAAACCGTTACCTGGATGGCATGGTAAGGAACCAATGGAATGGAAAAAGCATGACTTTTTTTTGTGCTGGCTCTCAGTAGTTACCTGAACTGTGAAAGCTTAATAGCAGTTCAAAGTTAACAGACAGAGTTAGATCCCAGTGGTCAGTTTGTCAAAGCAGGGAATGTAACTAAACCTGTTTCCAGTGGACTTCTTGATATATAAACATCAGATACTTAGCAGCTGCTGGTATCACTCTGTCCAGATGGGCGACACGGTTGGTATCTAGCATCGGGAAAGGCTGATGTGGGCCAGCACACTTCAGAAATGCAGATGGCAATTACCTCCTTGCTGGGATTAAAGAACTGCCTCCTGCAGCTGATCCTGGGAGATGGGCCTGGTCCTCAGCTGCTCCTGTGGTGTTTGGTATTGCTGTATAAGTTTGTCAGGGTTGCTCACTCTTAACGCCTGAAACGCAGACTTGGTAGCACACTGATTGTCTTTGGAGGGAGCAAAGCTGGTGCTCTGGGTCTGCTCAGGTTGTCCAGTGTCCTGTTCTGTCATCTTCCAACACACAACACCCGATAAACCCAGAATTGCTTTCCAGAGTAACCTGCCCCTTCAGATCTGGTTGCTGATGGAAAATCAGAGTGTGCCGGGGAAGGGCCAGAACAGCACATTCCTGCAGCAGAGGGGTTACCTGCTGAGGCCTCTCAGGAGAAAGGGAATTTGTTATCTGAATTGTGAGAGGAAGGGAATCCAGCCCAGGAATCTGAGAAGCAGATTAGCACCACAACACTGGTGCTTGCAGAGCCTTTTCTGCATGTGCTGGGTGTTGGAGAGCTGGTGCGTGGAAGCGAGAGAAAAGATAATTGTAGGGTTGAAGCCAGTTGAGTCAACCAGTGCTCAGCTTGGAAGTTTGATAACAGTGTGTGCTGCCAGTGTTGGAGTGTCTGAAATGGGTATCTGCTCAGCCTGAAAATAGAATGGAGGATCACAATAAAAGGTGTAATGACAAAAAAGCGTAAAGGAGAAGCCCTCAATCAGCGTGAAATTGTGCTTCTGTTACAGAGAATGTTTTGAAGCATTTCAGGAGCAACATGAGCAGAATCTCCGAGCAGTTTGTGAATAAGGAAAACAGACCAGAACTCAAAAGGAAAATGCCTGAACTGCATCCATTTAAAAATTGTTTGCCACCCTCTGGTGGAGTTGCACAGGCTTGCTGTCCCACGCTGAAGGGAAGAAATAGAACTAATGGCAGGAAATTGCAGGTTTTTCTGTGGTTGTGAGCCTGCCCCAGTGCACACTGATGGCACGAGCCTCCCGTAGGGACGTTTCCTCTGGGTGAAGAATTTACTTGCAGAGTTGCTCTTCACAAGCTGCATGGGTAGAACGCAGCAGTGCAGCAGTGGGTAGTTCGACCCTGTTTTTAAACAGGGGAGACATCCTGGTTTATGTTTAGAACAGACCTTCCCCTGTCTTTTTTGTTTCCCTCTTTTGAGCGTGGTGGGAACGGTGCTGTGCCTGGAGCCTGAGTGCAGGAGGGGACAGACCTGAGAGAGACGGGCAGCTGCTCTGCAGCCCCTGTGCAAATATGCTGTAGCCAGGAAGTGGGAGATTCTTCAGGGATACCTTCATCTGTTTCTAATGCCTCCATCTGAATTTTCTTTCCTATTCAGGATTCAGATTTTATGAGTGTGACTGGCCTGCTAACCGGCAGTGTGAAGCGTTTCTCCACCATGACACGGTCCGGGAGGGATAATCGCAAGTTGCTTTGTTCTGTTTCAGCAGGACTGATTGTTGTTTTCTTCATCCTCTACTATCTTGTGTCCAAAGCTGGGACTTGAGCTTGTTGTTCTGCAAGTTTTACAGAACAAACCCCACAACGATTGACAGACTTGTTCAACACCTTTCTCAGTCTGCCCTATGGTGGAGACTCAGATGTTCCAGACAGACCTTCCAAAAACCTTTTCTTTCCACCAGCTTCTTGGCATTGTTCTGGCTGGTCTCAGACATCTCTTTATAAAATGCGTATGTTTGATCCTAAACAGATTTTCATGTATAACACGATTTGATGTTGTTAAATGCTTACACCTTTATCTCTTGCCTTGTCGTCCATGTCTTGCAGCCTGTTTTTAAGGACCACTTTTGTGTTACCTCCCTTACCGATACTCGGTACTAAGCTTGTAAGGAGATACGGCTGAGAAATCCAGAAACATGTTGATACTAAAAATATGTTTAGCAAACAAAAAAAGCCGAGCGTTGGAAGCTGTAGAGTTTAGGATGCCAGTTTATGACATTTGGAAGTTTGAATGTGCGATTTACATTCCAGCATGGCCACTCAGCTGATACCTGGTCTCAGTTTCCTCTTGACTTGGAGACCTGTTGACGTCATTTGTGTCCCTGGGTTGAAATTAAATCTGTACCGTGTTGAAATGAAATTAGCAGCAGAGCTGGGCCCTCTTACTCTCTATTTGTTGCAGTGAAATGCTGCAGAGGAGCAAGACTATTTAAATGGTGGCTTGGTCATCTTTATCAGCCTGGGTAAAGCTGGGGATGAACCCTGCAAGAAAGGAGGGCCAAAGTCCATAAGCCACCTTGACATACACCTGTGTAGTATCTGCCAGTACCTTGCCATGTGCTTGCAATATACTCCCTTAGACTGTTAAATCGGTGTGAAGAAAATCTGATGGGAAAAGGTCCAGTTGATTTCAGTTGTTACAGTACCCCAGTACTAGAGCACTTTGGGGAGATATGCAAATAAAAGCAGAGGTTGAGCTCAAGTGAAACTCCTGAATGGTTGGGGTGGTGGTGGGAGGTCGAGGGAGGATTTGATCAGAGGGTTGATTTGTGTTTTTATTTATTTATCATGTAGAAGGTAACCCTGGGAGTTCCTGCTTTGCCCCTCACAGTGTTTTGGGGATCATAGGCTGTGGTGCTCGTGCGAGATGTGTGGCACAGCCCATCCCTACCAGTTCTGTTCCCAGGGCAGTTGTTTCCTGAAGGTGCAGCGCGTGCCGCGTTTCCTCTCCCAAGGGGTACGTGCAGCTCCAGATGTGCGGCAGCTGGGAACTCCATCTTCCCTTCGCGCTCCCGGCCTTTCCTGGGGCTGCTCACACACCTCACGACCCAGCTGTGTTCTAACATAGCTGAATTAAGCCTGCCTGTGATTGCAATAGGAGATCTGCAGCTTTAAAAATACTGTGTCTGTTGGGAGAAAGAAAAAAAAAAAATAAAACGTTCTTTCTCTCTTCAGACAAAGCCCCACTGCCTGTTATATAAACCTTTCCCAAGCAGCTGTGTTTCATCTTGTTTCTTTTCTGTACCAACTGCTGATCTGTTCCAGTTTTCCTTGAAGTTTTTGCTGATTTGCTTCTCTTCCAGTAACAACCACCTCCACAGGACTAAAGCATTCATCTGCTGATTTGCCTGTCTTCCTCCTCTCCAGCGATGGCTGGATGTTTCCTTTGGCCTCCCCCTTGTACCCATGAGGAATTGTTTGTCCTTGGACTAACTGAGGTCCAGATCTGTTAATGGACTGTGTTGTCCTTTGTTGCAGCTGAAGCAAACTGCTAACAAAATACTACCCTAACTGGATCAGGTGTCTTTTTTTCCACATTTGGGAAAAATGTGCAGGGAAGACAAGTAGAAAGGAGGCAGCAATGACTTTCTCTGATTCTTCTTAGTGCTGCTCTGCTAAGATGTGGCAACTCTGAACTCTCGTTTTGGAAGAATGATGGGTGAATTGATGGGTTTGTTTTGATTTTCTGAAGCAGATGAGTTCTGATAAAAGGCCACTGGAACAGCCCAGCCTCCATAATGCTGGTGGCTCAGGTTTGCTTTTACTGTTGTAAATAAAGCTCTGTTTTTAGAAATTTTTGCTCAAGTGTTTTTTTCCTTGTGCTTACATGCTAGCAAGGCTAAATACCAAGATCAAATCACGCCGTTCTGCTTGAACTGTAGAGAACTTTGGAGCCCAGTTTCAGTGTTACCCTGAGAAACAGCTCATCTTCAGTGACCTGAACCACGGGGCTGGGAGCGGGGCTGCCCTGGCTTGGGGGGACCAGATCTTCATCCTTCACAGGATCTGCCTGTGCCATTTCAGAAGATGACTTGTAGCTCTAGTATTGGCTCTGGACGAGTGATATGTCAGCCATTTTGCTGCTTTAGTATCCAATAATCTAGTCCTAATATTACAATGTTTTTTCTGAGGCATAAAAATAAGAGAAAGCAGATCTTCCTCACACACACCCCCCCAGCTCAAGGTGAACGTACAAAACGTGTTTTTACTGAAGCAGTAAAAACCAAGAACTGGAACTTGGCTGTGAACCGTTGTTTTCAGTGCAGTTTTGCAGCACTGTCTGAAGGTGCACCCCCAGATCATTACACAGAGTAACTCGCACTTTCCTTGCCTGCTCATACCACTGTTAACATGGTAGCTGAAGTGTGTAGTGTGCAGCTGGGATCACTGCAGCAAACGTGAAACAAATTATTTGGTAATAATGGGACAAGATGAAATACCGACAGTAACTGATTTCTGACTCCATATGCCCATAGTTGTTTACTGGAATTAGTGGAATGCAGTTAGTTGTTTGAAGAGGGGATTGCAGGTCTCAGGGAAGCTGCAGGTGCCCGTGGCTGGATCAGCGTCACCTAGAAGGGGTAAAAATTATAAAAAACTCACAAAATGTGACCGTGGGGCCTTGTTCTTGGGCAGATCTGTCCTCAGCGAAGGCTGTCAGATAGAACAGGTGGATGTGAAGGCCGGAGAAAAGGAATTTTGAGGGGTGTCAAAAATGTTTGTAGGCGGCCTCTGAAAGGGAACATCTCGCGTTTGACACAGGATAGAGGGACGTGCCCGCGCCACCTGTTGCCTCCGGCATGCTCAGTGTCCCCAGCATCCCGGGCCGCGGCCGCCATGACAGGCCGGGCGGGCCGTTGCCGCGGCAACAGGAACGCCCCGGCGGAAGTGACGCTCAGGGGAAGGGCCGGAAGTGGTGGGCGGGGCCGGGGGTGCCGGCGCGATGGCGGAGGTGGCGGCGGGGAGCGGGGCTGGGGCCAGCCCTGAGGCTGGCGGCGGCGGCGGAGGATGGCGGCGTCCC